ACACAAGTTGTGGATGAGTTTTCCTCCAATCCTGATGCCACATTTCTCCTCATAAAGTCCAGCCACTCAAATGATCTGTTCAATATAGATTGAAAAGGTATGGAGATAGAAAGCATCCCTGATGCACTCTTTCCTGATTTTGAACCATGCAATGTTTCTTTGCTCTGAGGACAACTTCTTGGTCCATGTATAGGTTTTACATGAGCACAGTCAAGAGTTGTAGGATTCTCATTCTTCTCAAGGTTAGCCACAATTTGTTGTGATCCAGTCAAATGCCTTTGCACAGTCAATGAAACACAGACACTCCTCTAGTACTCTGTGCTTTCAGCCAGGATCCATCTGACATTAACAGTAATGTCTCTAGTGTCACGGCCTTTTCTAAGCCTAGCTTGTTTTTCTGGTAGTCCTCTGTTAATGTATTGTTCTAGTTGTTTTGGATAATCTTCAGCAGGATTTTGCTTGCATGTGATATTAATGACATTGTCTGATAATTTCTAAACTCTGTCAGACCACCTTTCTTTGGAATGGGAATAAATATGGATCTCTTCCAGTCAGTTAGCCAGGTAATTGTCCTCCAGGTTTCTTGGCACAACTTGGTGAACACATCCAGGGCAGCATCTGTTTGTTGAAATATGTCTGTTGAAATATCTGTTCAATGTAACTGGTATTCCATCACTTCCAAGGGCCTTGTTTTTTACCCATTCCTTCCTATTTTTTTAATTGGCCTAAAATTTAAGAAAATGGATTCATTTACCTAAGGGAAACACTCAAGTACAACTAAGAAACTGCAATGAACAGTTGGGTTATCTTTCTTTCCATTAGAAATTTCCTTAAAGTCAAAAAAGCATTTCTTTTTCCAAATACCCAAAGACTTGAGGCAATTTCTTTCTCAAAATCTTGGGATATAGTGTCAGAGTCTGACTGTATTGTTAGGTGCTATCGAGTTGAGTATAACTCATAGTGACCCTATGACCAACAGATCTGAAAATTGTTCTGTTCTGTGCCATCCTCACCATCTCTGACACGTTTGAGCTCATTGCTGCACTCACCGTGTCAATCCATCTCAATGAGAGGTAAAAATCCCATGTTTTCTTTAAAAAGGTATTTAACCAATGTAATAGGCATTTTCTATGTTCATAATTCACAATGAAAAAATATTTAGTGTATTTCTCAAAGTTTGTATACATTGTTTTTCACACCGTATCTTTCTCCTTTCTTTACCCAACCCTCTCTCCACCCATCAAATTGTGCGACCCTATGATTAAGGTGCCCCTCTCCCTTGGATCCTTGTACTCATTCTACAACAATGGTCTTATATAGTATTTGTCTTTATGAGACTGAGTTAGTGCATTCAGCATATTGCTTTTCAGCCCTCTCATGTTAGGTAGTAATTTACAAAACCATTGCTATTGATTGCTGCATAGTATTCCATTGTGTGACAGTACCATGATTTCTTAATCCATTCCACTGTGATTGGGCATTTGAGCTGTTTCCATGTTCTTGCTATGGTGAGTAATGCTATGAACATTGGTGCACAAGTCCATCTGCGTCAGTTCTCGTTTTCTCAGGATATATTCCAAGCAGTAGAATAGCTTGGTCATATGAAATTTCTATGTTCACCTTTTCAAGGAAATGCCACACTGCCTTCCAAAGTGGTTGTACCATTTTATAATCCCACCAACAATGTATCAGAGTTCCTATCTTGCCACATCCTCTCCAAGATTCTTATTCGAAGAGGACTAGAGCTCTGGTGGAATAGTCTGTAAAGAGTTCCACTGTTAATCCAAAAGTTAAACCTCTCTGGAGGTTCGAATCCACCAGCTCTTCTGTGAGAGAAAGACGAACAATCTCCTCCTGTGTGGTTATTGAAACCACTCTGAAAACCTTCTGCAGGGTCAGTTATGAGTTGATTCCAACTTGAGAACAAATACGTTTTTGAGCTAGAGTTTGAAGGTTGTGCTAGAAACAAAAACAGGGCATGAAGATAATCAGCATTTATCTAGATCCATGAATCCATGTTGTTGCCAAGCAGTATTGAATGCCCTACACACTACCAAAAGAATCAGTCTGTCTTGGAGGAGGTGCGGTCAGGATGCTTCTTAGAGGAAGGACAGTGAATCTTCAGCTCACATACTTTTAAGCACATTGCCAGGAGGGACTAGTGCTTGCTAAGACATCATAGACGGAAAAATAGAGGGTGAGCAAAAGAGAGGAAGACCTCAACAAACTGGAACAATGGGTTTGAGCATGGCAGAGATTATCGTGAGGATAACAGGATAAGGGAAGGTTCAGATCTGTTGTTCATAGTTGACTTGATGACATCAAACAATAGCTACATGACTTCTAAATCTGACTGCTTTAAATCCAAATGGGAACTTAAAAAAAATACTGCTCTGGGCATTCTCTACCAGAACTGGTCTCCAGAAGGCCGTGGCCAGCAGTCACTGACCTTGAGAGTTCCAGCACACCAGCTCTCCTCACCCGTCTCTGTACCCTGGAGTCCAGAACTGCAAACTTTCTCTCCAGGGAACAAAATGTTATCTTTCCTAATCCCCTTCTAGAAAATTGGATTAGCGAAGAGGTTTTCAAGTTGTGATTCATGGGCAAGTTGTCACAGCACTGGAAACGTCAGAAATGAAAATCAGAAATTGTAAGGATGGGCCCAGCATTCTTATTCCATAAGCTATCCAGGTAAACTCAATCCATGCTAAACCTTGAAAGCCAATGGGTTAGAGTATTTTAACCATCAAGAGAGAAGTGAAGAAAGACGCAACTCCATGTAAGGTAGAACCAAGTTTATTAATGACAGCCTTATTACAACCACTCTCAAGTGAGAAAAAAAAATAAAGGGTGATTAATTAAAATTCAAAACTCACTTGGATTTGCTGTTTGGCCTTTCACTGGATGTGCCAAGGTGGGGTTGGGGGTATATCTGTCTGATTTTGAGTCAAATGGTTGGATGGCATTTGCTGGAGAATGAGGTAACAAACATAAAGCCACAAGTGTCAACGGGAGAGCTGTGGTCTCCTCCCCATCGGAATGACATTACAAAATGACAAGTGTGGTGGGCAGAGATGAAACAAGACCATCTGACAGCCAGTATATGGAATGAAATTCTCTAAGTTCACAGAGACACAAACACACGCACATGCATAGTCGCACACACACTCAGACTGGAGACCAGATTTGAAAAGAATTCTTGTCCTTGCTCGGAACAGACTGACACCCTGTTGAGCCTCAGCAATGCAACATGGGGATGAAAGGAGCAACCTTGCTAAGTATCCACCAAGTATGCTAGCTCACTGCCCAGTTATGTGTTGGTCAATGTGTCACTACTGTTAAGACATGCCTGTGGTTCCCCCCTGCATTCCACAGGTCACTGTCTGCTCCCAGGAGAGCAATATTCCCTGGACATATTTACAAACACCAGTTGCATTAAAACCTGGGGGCGAAACTTGCCCTCTGAGCTGGAGTGGGGGCAGGGGCGGCAGCACCAGTGCCAAGGAGGTGGTTCCCCACCTTGTGTCACAGAACACTTGCCCCCATTTAATGCACTCCCCTCCAAAATATTTGTGCTTTGTTACCATTCTGATAAAAGATGCTCTATGGCGCAGTGGTGAAGCACTGAGCTAACCTAAAGGTTAGGGTCAGTTTGAGCTTGCTCCTTGAGAGGAAAGACGTGGCCAGCCAGCTATTTCCAAAAGTGATTTACCGCCTTGGAAACCCTATGGGGCATTGCACTGTCTTACAGGATCACAATGAGTTTGATTCAACCTGACAGCAACAGGGTTTGTTTTGGTTGAGTGGTTGTTTTTTAAACACACTGATATTTAGTTTGCAGTAGAAAAAACAGACAGAACTTGAACCGTTCACTATTTTCTTTCTTCTTCTTCATTTTTTAAATGAAAGCCAACTAAAGGAGACTAAGAAACCAAAACCGCAAATGGAAGCTTTTTGATCATGTCAACACTGTGTTGAAAGTGGGCTGAATTCTGCTCAAAGAGCAAGAGAGGGAGGGTGCAGAAGAGGCTGCTACGAGGACATTGCAGCAAGAGCGTGGGGCCCTTGGGAGCAGTTTTGACAAGAGGAGAACGTGCCACAAACTCCAAACCCACAACCCAACGAAAGAAATGCTGACCGAGTCACATGGTTACCTGTCTGGAAGAGGGGTGGCAGGAAAAGGGGTCTGGTTCAGATTCACAGGTCATGCAAGGGAAGATGATACAAAAGCAAAATTAATATTACAGCTGAATAAGAAAATACTTTGAAAGAAAATGTCAAAGAAATCATCATAGTTTTTACCTTCGAGAGACTGGGCGGCGGGTGGGGGGGGAGTCAAATGAAACAAACAAACAAAAAAAACCAAAAACCAAAACAAGACCAAAATACCAATACAGAGTATTCCAAGACTTGATCCTGTGGTGAGAGTTGGAGGGGAGGCGAGGGGTGAAGGGGGAGCATTTAGCTAGTATCTGCTCATTAACCTCCTATTTTCCTCCTTGGATTTCAATGATAAAGCTCAAGCCTACCTAGATAAAGGTCTATCCTGTCAGAACACACCATGATGAGTCCTCCCCAGGCAGTAGCTTCAAGCACACGGGATACACAATGCTTCACACGGGGAAGACACTCCACAGCAGACCGTGAGCCCTCATGAGTTTACTTGTTGAGTGTGATCACCACAAAACCTGAACCCAAAGACAAGCTGTTTTCTTCTTGGGATGACCGTTGTACCAGTTTCGGTGGAGCGATGCCCCCAAGCACTGTCCTCTTAGGTGAGGGGCTGAATTTTAGAAAAAAAAATATGCTCCTCTTCAGGCCCTGGAACAAAAGGGAGTTCTTCAGGTTGTGACGAAGAGCAACACTACTAACTCTGACAGCCCTCCGGTTAGGGAAGTAGAGAACAAATGGGTTTTTCCCCCAAATTCAAAGGTGTTCTGTTTCCATTTAAGTACATTTGGGTCCCCCACTCCCATTGGTTGGGTGTTGGTTTGATTTTAGTGAGTGTCCAACCAGCCATAAATCCATGGCTATAGTAGAGATTCATGGCGGAAGAATTTTCATTCTGTTCTTGTATGTTTTGTTTTTAAATTCTGTCAGTGAGCAGCATTTCCCAGTTTCACTCCCCCCAACACACAAGTTCTTGGCAGCTCCATCAGGTGGGGTTGAAGGACGCCTCTGAGACAGGGGCTGTGCGACTGGGACCGTAGCTCAGCACGCAGGAGGGTCAGGAGGGCTGGGTCTGTCCAGTGTCTTGCAGCAGCTGTTGAAGGAGGGCTCTACCAGCTTGCCCTGACAGCTTCAATATCACTAACCAAATTCTGGGCCAGGCATATCCCAAAAATCTGAGGAAAGAAGCAACAGAGAGTCAAACAATGAAACTTTAACCTCATTAGATCTTTCCTTGACCACTGTGCACTTTAAAAAAAAAAAATCCAAACGCCACTTTGATTTTTTCTTAAATGAGCTTTATAATTAATTCATACATCAGAAAATTAACTCATTTAACAAAGACAGTACAATATGCTTAGAATATGCATGAGTATATACAACATTCACCAATAACTCTAGAATGTTCTTTCTTACCTGGCAAAAAAATCCTCACTGTTCCCACTCCCCCTCCATAACTCCCCTGCCCTAAAGCCCCTAACATGCATTCATTTACTTTCTATCACTATGGACATTTCAGATAAATGGAATCATATACTAAGTAGTCTTTTGTGTAGCATGTGTCAGTCCTTTGTTCCATTTTACAGCTGTGTAATACTCCACTAAATGACTGCACCATGTCTTGTACACCCTATTTATCCAGTATCAGCTAGTGGAAAGTTTGGTTATTCCACATTTTAGCTAATAATTAGCAATGCCACTGTACATCCTTATTTACAAGTTTATGTGAGCATATGTCTTCAGTTCTTTTGCGTATATACCTATGAGCAGAACTGCTGGGTCTTATGTTAACTCTACGTTTAATTTTTTGAGAAACTGCCAGACTTTTTCCACAGAAGCTGTACCATTTTCTATGCCCATAAGCAATGCATGAAGGCTCCAATTTGTCCATGTTCTCATCAACACTTTTTAAAAATTATTATTTTTATAGCCATCCTAGTTGTATCTCATTAGAGTTTTGAACTATCTTTCCCCCTATGACTAGGGGAGGGGGTTCTGGTTGCCGTAGTCTGTTGGGACTCCTTTAAGGGTATAATGACCAGGAGGTAAAATGGTTGAGTCATATGGTAGCTCTGTGGTTAACTTTTTTTAGGTACTACTAAATTGTTTTTCACAGGAGCTACACCATGGCATGTTCTGGCCAGGAAAGGGTAAAGATTCCAGTTCTTCTACATCTTTGACAACAACTGATTTTGTTAAAAAAAAAAAAATAGCCACTTTAATGGGTGCAAAATGGATAATTATTCATATAACATGAAGTAGGGAGTCCAAATTCATTCTTTTGCATATTGATGATATCCAGTTGTCCCAACACCTTTTGTTGAAAATTTGTTGGAAGAATTCCTCATTGAAACATCTTCATACCCTTATAAAAAAACAAACAAACACACAAACCTGCCTCATATAGAAATATGAGATTATTTTTAGATTCTCAAGTCTATTCTACTAACTGATACATATGTCTAAAGTAGGGCCAGTATCAGAGTATCTGGATACTACAGCTTTTAGTAAGTTTTTAATCAGGAAGTGTGAGTCTTCTAAAAGTGTCTCTTCTAAAATTTGTTTCTGGTAGTTGAGTCCCCTGGAATTTCCACGTGAATTTTAGGATCATTTTGTCCTGTTACGCAAAAAAAACCAAACAAACAAAATCAAACCAAACAGTTTTAAAAAACCCCACAATCCACCACCAAAAATTCCTAAAGCCCATCATCATTAGGTTTATTCTGACTAGAACTGCCTTGTCGGGCTCCAAGGCTGGGCCGACTTTATGGATGTAAACAGCCATATATCTCTTTTATGGAGTGGCTGGTGGGTTAGAATCAACTTTTCAGTTGGCAGTTCACCACTATACCACAAGAGTGTCTTTTTACAAGGAAGAAAAAGGAGGAAAAGAATAAAAGCAGATGACATTGTAATAAGAGTTTGCAATGACTCAATTTGAGGAATATTAATCATCTTAACAATATTAAATATCCCAATCCATGAGCACAGGATGTCTTTCCATATATTTAGGTTTTCAATTTCTTCTAACCACTCTAGTCCATTTTTAAATACTGCATCTGCACAGCATGAGAAAAAGCCTAGCTTCTGGGACTTCCCAGGAGAAAGCGGGTAGTCTTTTCCTTCACCAGCACGTTGGCAAGGTAGTCCAGAGAGCAAAAAGGGATTCCGAAAATCCTGAAGCTTTACTTAACCTTGCCACTGAGAACAACTTCTGACCATTTATGTGTGCTCTAGCTGTCACAATGCAGTATTATTGAGCCCCTAGAATCGAGCTGTTGGCGTGCCAGCAGGCAACTCTGCCTCAATCAATCTTCCATCTTCAAAGGCAAAAAGGTTTTCCAAAGTATTTTAGAACACTAGCATCAAATCAGTCCTAACAAAATGTAAAACAGACCATTCTGAAATTGTTTTCTAGCCCTCCAGTGAGTTTTAAAACCTGTGCCACGCAGCCTTCCACTGATTTAATCACGGCTCGTCCTGCCTTGGTGAGGGCTTTCTCAGGAAATTCTTTCTCCATGACATCTTTATGTTAAGGTCTGTGGGTGGCACAGATGGGTTGCATTTGACTCCTAATCTAAAGGGTGGCAGTTCAAACCCATTCAACGGTACCTGAGGAGAAAAGGCTCAGCAATCTGCTATGTTGTTGTTGTTGTTACATGCTGTCGAGTCGCTTGCGACTCATAGCGGCCCTATGTACAACAGCCCTACGAGAAAGTTTTATGCTGTAATGTTTGAGATTGCAATGAGCTGGAATAGACGTAACATCAATGGTTTGGTTCTGTAAAATATTTAACACCTTTTAAAAAAAAAACAAACAAACAACAAAACACCTTTGGAGCAGTTCTACAGTGTAACACATGATATCACCATGGGATGGAATGAGCTCAAGGGGAACAAGTGTTTGTTTTTATCTCTGTCTTACCTGCAACAATGCAATGCCTATGAAAATACCAGCCACAATGGTTAAATTGTCTTGCAACCACTTCTCAAACTGAGGCACACAGCCTTTTGTGTAGATTACAATCTGTTGATCAACTTCCTTTAAGAGGGAAGAGGAGAGCACAGTGTCACAGATACTGCCATTGCACCCGGCATGTTCAGAAAGTTCTCCCACACATCCTTTGTGCTAAGTGACAAAATGAGATTCCACTTACTGGCTTCTGTCTGGCATCATAGCCACACTGAGTGTTGATGACATCCTCCTGGTGGAGAAAGGAAACACAAAAGTGAAATTCACTCTTGTAAGTTAGCAGAAGATCCTATTAGAGAGTCAGTGGTGAAATGTCTAGTTGAGCATGGATGTGTCACAAGCACTGTGCTAACAAGCACTTCATGGACTTATCCCAACAATCATGATAACAATAAGGATTCTTGTAGGTGTTAAAATGTAAATTCTATCTCACAAATGAGGAACACTGAGATTCAGAGAGTATCAGAAGGGGTAAGAAGTCCATTATGCAGGAGCCCAGAGATTCAAAGTTAATAACTTAAAGAAGTTTCTGGGGATTAGGGAACTGTAGATAGACTGAAAACTATGGGTAAATGACTCAATGGCTGTCTTCATTTATGGTCAACTGTGAACTTTCATTCACTTTCTAATCATATGTTGTTGTTTTTAGATACCACTGAGTTGACTATGTCTCATATCGATCCTATGAACAACAAATTTGTACCTTGCCCTATCCTGCATCATTTTCATAATCTCTGACTTGCTTGAGCCCATTGTTGAAGTCACTGTGTCAAAACATGTTATTGAGGGTCTTCATCTCTTTCCCTAACTCTCTCTCTACCTTCACCAGCATGATGGCTTTGTCCAAGGATGGGCCTTTCCTGACAACATGCTCTAAGTACATAAGAAGAATTGTCACCATCCTTGCTTGTAATATAATGAATTCTTATTCAGTACATGATGATTTTTCAATGAGCCTAAGAGTTAAAAAAAAACAAAACCAAAAACACAAAAACAACCCAACAAACCATGTCCAGACATGTATCAGAGGGACAGCTGGATCTTAATTGATCAGAAATGTGGGTTCTATTGTTGGAGGTTTATTCTGCTCTGTGACCATGAGGTAGAGAGGGTCTATAGTTGAAAGTGAGGCATAATGCCATCTTGGGATCTTCAGAATTCTTCTAATGGAATGCTAACATCGTGCATGCAAGAAACTGGACATTGAGGCCAGTGCAGGGCTGGCTGGCCAGCAGCAAGCCTGCCTACGTACAGGGGGCCTGGTGGACTCCACTGGCCACTTCCTGCCTTATGTCCTTCCTTCCTTCCTTCCTTCCTTCCTTCCTTCCTTCCTTCCTTCCCTCCCTCCTTCCTTCCTTCCTTCCTTCCTTCCTTCCTTTTCTTCCCTTCCTTCCTTTTCTTCCTTTCTCTTTTCTCTCTCTCTCTCTCTTTCTCAGAATGACCCAAGGGGAGCAATAGACCACCAGCCAGGGAGAAAGGTCAGTTTGACTCATGACATGGCCAAGTCTCTGCAGCAGGGTAGCACACTTCCTAGTGCTTCTCAGTCTTCTTCTTTAAACAAAGAGAGACAACTTAGTCTGCTCCAGATGAGAAGCTGACAGTGTACGCCTGCAGGGGAGATCGGCTCTTCCACTCGAACAGCAAAGCCTTCAGATGAGCCTCATGCCCTCTGTCTTGCAGGAGAAACACAACTTATCGCATAAGCATTAACTGGCACTGCTCACTGGGGCTGGGGATGCCTTGAGGAGGACACTTGGGGACCAATGTGTCTAAGGAAGGCTGGGAAGCCCCCAAAGGGCTTCAGTCTGAGTGTGCAAGAGTGACTTCTCATGCTCGTCATTCTAAGACTCAAGTCTGGCTTTTCAAATATTAAATTCCATATACCAGGCAAGGAGCTCTGCTGGGCTAGTGGATAAGGAATTGCACTGCCAACCTCAAAGGAGGCAGTTCAAATCTACCAGGTGCTCTTTGGGAGAAACATGAACAATTTCCTCTTGCAGGATTTACAGCTTTTGAAACTCCCTGGAGGGCCAGCTGTGAGTTGATTTCAACTTGAGGGCATATAACAATAACATACACCAGGCAGGGTGCTCTGGTGGCCTGGTGGCAATTATGCTGCAAGCTCAAAGGTGACACCTTTCTGGTGGTGCAAATCCACCAGTGGCTTTTTGGATGAAAGATGTGCAGTTTCCTCCCTTGCAATTTACAGCCTCTGAAAACCTGCTTGAGGGTCAGCTATGAGGTAGATCCAACTTGATGTCAGTTAGTTGAATAGAGTTGATATACCAGGCACAAGATCTGGCCCAAATACAACCAAACCTATGATTAAAGGGAGTGGCTTATGGATAACTTAAATACTCATTTTCCTTTAAAAAATTAAAATACAAACTTTAATTATTATAGTCATTACAACGTTAAGAGTCTAGGCTGGCAATTCCTAACTGTGGTATTCCTCTTGCAAGACAGAAGGTGTGTGGGGCTTCTTCAAAGGTCTTCCTACATCTGAGCTTTATCTTATCTGAAACTTCAATTATTTTCTCCAGAATGAAGGCGGAGAGAAAAGTGTTACTAATCTCAAACCAATAAAGAAAGTTCACATATGAGCCAGCCCCTCTCGTAAAGGGGTAACACAGGTGAAGCAGGTGGGTTTCCTTGCTTCAAGCTCATCTCTATCACTTGCGAGCAGCCTGCACTTGGGAAAACTACCTAAAACCTGGTGTCTTGGTTTCTTCACCTGCCCGAGGACAATAATAGAGGCATCTACCGGTGGAAAAGCTTGGAGCTTAAATGAGCCAGTGCACATAAAGACTTAGAACAGAAAGCAGCACCGACTGCTAAATTAATGTTCGCCATGATTACACCTACTGGGAAGATGTGAGCACTGTACTCGCTGCATGAGCTGCAATTAGACACAAGCAGGTACAAAGACAGGTCAAGAAAATCTTTCAAGAGGTTTCAAGAAAACCCCTACTGCTGAATGCCACTCTCGGTGGGATGCCCAGAGCAGGCCAATACTTTGCTGGCATTCGCTTACCGCAGGGTCTTTAGTACAGCAGGAGAATGGCACGCCGCATCGCTCTCGACTTGCATTGGAATCTGTGCAATTGAAGTAAATATTTAGGTTCCAATCATCAGCTCCAAAAGCCCCACAGCACTGCCACTAGAGCAAACAGGAGAGAATTAGAACATCTCGACTTGGAGGTGACCAGGTGCCTACGCTCACACCCTCCAGCACGACACCCAGCCGGTGCCTGCTCTAACCATCCATCTCTTCTGTCTCAGAATTTGCTTTCAAGTTAATGTGAACCTAAAGCTTGAGTAAAAGCTTCCAAAGTAATTAAAGCTGAAGGTTTCTAAGAGTGTATTCGCCTGTGATTTAAATAACTGGTGAAGAAGGTGCTGATCCTGCTACCCACACGTGCGGGAAAGGAAGAGTGGGAACACAGCAGGACACCCTCAGAACAAAAGCTAATGGGTGCAGGGACACTGGAAAATTCTAGAAGGCTAAATAGTCATAGTGTTTGGAGAAGACAACCGGCATAGTGGGTGGGATATCTAAGAGCTTAATTTTGAGCTCTGCATTTTAATAGTGTTCTTAAAATCTGTTTTATTGAGGTATAATTGGCATGCAGTAAACTGCAAATGTTTAGAGTATATAATTTGATAAGCTGTAACATACGTACACAGCATGAAACTATCAACACAATCAAGAAAGTGAATATATATTACCCCCCTCAAAAGACTTAGACTTATTTTTCATAATAGATCTATTGCAACTTTAACTTTTAAAACAGAATTTAAAAATCAAAAGCATGTAGTCACAATTTACGCTAAAAAATAAACCGTCTAATTAAATAGGTCAAAGTCAGCTGCCAGTTTCAGGTTATGAACAGGCTGATACACCTGTTCCTTGCTCACACCCCCCACCATGTGGATCACACCTCCCACCATGTGGAGGGACTATCTCCACAGCCCCGAGTTAAACACACATCAGGCTTTGACCACTTTAAGGCTTTCAGGGTCAGCAGCTACTTCAAAATATGAAACTCTACAAGAGAAAGATAAAATCACATGCAATAATAGTGTTTCCATATAAAGCAGACAGCATTTCAAGAGAATGTGTAGACGCATGTTCTTCAAATCGTCAGGTCCTCCTGGGGGCTGGGCCAGGCAATCACAGTGTTTGCCTACAGAGCTCCATCTGATCTGTCATGCAAGCTAGGCAGGAATAATGCTTGGCAAGGTGTGAGCTTGCATCCATTATGACCTAGAAAAGCAGTCAGGGCTGCCGAGGAGATGAAACAGGGCTTAATTTCACACCTGAGGTACAACTTACTCCAGGGCAAATGTTCTGAGGCTGAGCCAAATCAACTGCAAGGCTCAGCTGAGTTCTGAGAGTCTAATCGGGGAGGGTGGCCTCCCTCATGGCAAGGAGGTAGAGACATTTCCTCCCTTTATCAAGGGAAATCCCAACTCATTCTGTAAAACTGTCCAACCACATCAGTGGCTACTCTCTGCTGGCACTCCAGACCTGCCCGTAGACAGCAGAGTGTGCCAGCCATACATGTCTGCTCAGTTTATCCAACCTCTCAATACATGCAAATAAAATCTTGCCGGTTTGCAGGCCAATACTATCATAACTCTGGAGTGTCATAATTCCCCTGGTGAGTCTAAACCAAAAATCACTAGGCACTGAGTCAATTCTGAGTGGTGGAGATCCTACATTATATTATAGTAGAAATGTTCGGTGGGCTTTCATTGGATGATTTTTCTGGAAGGAGATTACCCAGGCCCACAGCACCCCTGGGTGGACAATAACCTCTAAATTCTTGGTCAACAAACTAAGCTCATTAGTCAATTATCCCCTGTGAGTTAGACAGTAGCTATTATTTTTGCCATTTTACTACTGACAAATTAGGGATGTGCCCAAGGTCACATAGTTAATCAGATTTGACACTAGAATCTGTGTCTTTCAACCCTAGTTTATGCATTTGCATCTGGAGTGAAACAGGGCATCTGCTGTTTGGCTGCTTGCCCTTGGGCAATGAAGCCATCACCTTGGGACCAGGGAAGGGGTATTCAACTCATCAGGGATCAAAATCCAGTCAGCAGTGGCAACTCATTTGATTTTATGATTTTTCAGACTTAGACCACTTCTGAATTTTCAGCTTTTGCCACATGAGCTATAATAATAATATTTTAATTATGCACATTTTAGGAGCTCTGTGAAAAAATAGTCTCTCGAGAAGTATATTATTATGAGCTGTGAAGGATGCAATATTACCAAATGGGAATGGGTGGGGGCAGGAAAGCACCCATACTTAATTAGCAAATAAAATTTTAAACTCAGAGCAAAATAATGTTCCTTAAATGTTGACAGGAAAAGGCAATTGTGATTATAACCTTTTTCTAGAATTGCCTTTGTGGGTCCTCTAATGTTCTATGAACGGAAATATGAAACCAGGATATTCTCATTTAAAGTACAAAGTCCACAAGTCAATGGCACAGTGGAAAATTTTGAATAAACAAACAAACAAAATGCAGAAACGTCAGAGTTTGGTCCCAGCTGGCTGTTGCAGACACCAAGACGAGTTTGGGTTCATCCTTCAGAGAAAGTTGTCAAATTACAAATAAACCAAATTGACACTTACATATTCCTGGGTGAAGTCGATGAGATTCTGTAAATCAATGTCATCTCTGTAGGCTCTGATGTTGTTGTTTATAAAAAAATACAGCTGGTCTTTGATCCAGTCTTTGAACACAAATGCCAGCACCCCAGCAGTAAGCTCCAGGAAGAAAATAATTCCCAGGAAGACAGAAAACTGAGACAAAAGATAGACACACAGAATGATTAGGCGGGCTTTTGAGATCACAGATAGTTAAAAGTGTTCTCTCTAAAAAAGACTGTAATTATACTGGATTATTACACATCTCCAAAACAGATAATCTTAAGTTTCTTGAGGTGCACTAATATAAAATTACACTTGAAGAAAGGGTCTGAAAAAAATCATTTCATAATAACATTTTAGAGACTTTGGTGTTCCATTTGGTAATTAACCAACAAAGCTCATAAGCAAACATGGATCATAGGAATTTCTCATTAGACTCACATTAAGACCTAATGAATTTCTCGTGATTAACACACACTGCCAGATGCTCCAACAAGGACCTGCCCCTACCTCCAGTAAGCTTTACAATGATGAAAGACATATTATCTCAACATTTTACTTGGCATTTGTTTCTGAGGCACTGGTTTCTATGTGCAATACATTTCTTTTATGCATCCACACAGCTCAAATTCCCCTTTGCACCTGCTGGACAGGGTAAAATAGCCAATCTGGTCATAGTAGGCAGAGAGCTCACGGAGACAGTGAGAGGGGAAAGTGACTGTGACATTAAAATAATTCCCCACAAGGAAAACAAACCCTACTGGGTTGAAGGCAGCCTTGGGGATACTAGCTGTGCTGTCTTTTGTTTGTGAAGTTTTACTCTCAGGAAACATTTTAAGTAAGATCCAAAAGCAGCCAAATGAAAGCTTCTGCCTCATATAGAAATCAAGAATGTAGATGATAAGGCTAAATACCATAAGGCAACGTGGTAACTGCCACTAAATTTGGGTGTGCTTTCATTCCATCTAGACGACTCTGTAAAACTGCCTCTTCTTAGTGGTATCACCTCCTACTTACCTCCACATTCTCATTCCATTGCAACTTTTTTGTTAAACTAGACTATCAGAAATGAGGCCAGGGTAAACCACAGGTAAGCTCGTCTGGTGACAATGACAGAAAGGATGTCACTAGGCCCCTCCTGCTCAGGGAGTTCTGTGGGCTGTGGGAGGGTGTGTGGCTGAGGAGATAGCCTCCCTAGAACAGACTAAATCTGGTCTAGTGTTTCCACGCTCAGCAAGCAGACATCACACAGCCTGACAAAATGAACATGAGGTGGGGGTAGGATGCGAAGGAAACCATAGTTACATATTAAAAGTAGAGAAAAAAAAACCCCAAAACAAAAACCAAGTCCATTCATTCTGCAAACATATACCAAATGCCCTGCTGTGAGTCAGGCCCTGTGCTAAAAGGACTATACAAAGGCCACCACACAGACTTGCTATTAAAGACCCCAGAGTGGGTGCAATGCACCTGTACGTCACAGGGGATCCAGGTGGTGGTAGAGGAGGGAGGGTAATTCATATGAGATGTCAGTATATCTCAAAGTGTGCATCCAGAGTGCCAAGGCAGTTCTGTTGTTGCTATTACATGCCACTGAGTCGACTATGACTCAGAGCCCTAGGAACAACAGATTTTAACCTTGCCCTATCAGTTGTTACACACACAATCCCTGATATGCTTGAGCCTCTGTTGCAGTTGTTGCATCAATCAAGCTCACTGATGTTATTCCTCTCTTTCATTAACCTTCAGCCTTTTCCCAGCATGACGTCTTTTCCCAAAGATCAGCTCCTTCTGACAATATACCCACAGTATGTGAGATGAAGAAGCTACCAAAAGACTTCTGACTTGTGAAAGAGTTCTAGGAAGGTAAAGTAAACAAACAAACAAAAATCAAATAGCTGTCAAGTCAATTCAAACTCAAACTTCTGTAGGGTTTCAGAGACTTTAAATCATACCACAAGCTAAGAGATGATTAGGCATATCTCACTCCCCAGAATGGCTGGTGGGTTTCAATGATCAACTTTCAGTTAGTAGACCAACTTAGAACACACAATACCATCAGGGTTCCTATAACAGGAAGGTTCTTATTAGGTGACATCAAGTTGACTTCAAGTCATTGTGATCTTATGAACAACAGACTTGAATCTTGCCTTATCCTGCACCATCCTCAATTCGTCCCGCTTGAAAACCTTGTCAGGGTCATTGTGTCAGTCCAACCTTTTGAGGGTCTTCCTCTCTTTCTCTCATCCTCTACCTTTATCAGCATGTTATGTTTTTCCAAAGACTGGCCCCTCCTCACAGTATGAGGTATTAAGACAGGTATACGAGACAAAGTTTCACCATCTTTGTCTCTAAGAAGCACACTTTGTTACACTTCCTCTAAGACATATGTGTTTGTTTCTTTCATAGTCTGGTGGGATATTCACTATACTTCTTCAACACCACAATTCAAAGGCATCAATCCTCCTTCAGTCATCCTTATTCACTGTCCAGCTTTCAGAGGCAGAGGAAGCAAAGGAAAAGACCACAGCTTCAATCCTGTGCACTTGAAACGGACATCCTCGCTGCTGAGCACTTTGGAGAGGTCCTGGAGAGCAGCTATTCCAAATGCAACACGCCTTGATTTCTTGACTGCTCCTTCCAGAGTGATGACTGTGGATCCAAGTAAAATGAAGTCGCTAACAACTTCAATCTTTTGTCCATCTATCATGATACCGTGTATAGGTTCGGTGTGAGATTTTTGCTTTCCTGGTGCATATTGAAGGTTATAGTCTGTGATCTTCTGAAGTAAGTGTTTCAAGTCTTCTTCACTTTCTTCAAGCAAGGTTCTACTATCTGCATCACTCAGGCTGTGGATGAGTCTTCCTCTAATTTTGATGCCATATTCATCTACATATGGTCCGGCTCCTTGAATAATTGTTCTCAGCATACAGACTGAATTGTTGTTATGTCTCATCCAGTCAACTGCAACTCATGGGGACCCTATGAACAATAGCTCTAAACCCTGCTCTATCTGTAGTCAATCTCACTATCTCCAATACATCTACCCCCAATACCCTAGTTACTATGTCAGTCCATCTCCTGCACAGACTCTCTACCCTTCCAACCATAATGTCCTTCTCCAAGGACTGTCCCTCCTGGCAACATCCTCAAAGTATGAGATGGAGCTCCAAAATCCTTGTCTCTAAGGAGCAACCTGGTTTCACACACTCTAGACCAGATCAGTTTGTTTTCTTGGCAGTCCAGGGAATGTTCAAACCTTTTCACCAGTACCACAACTCAAAGGCACAGTTTAAAGAGTACGGTGAAAAGATCCAACCCTGAAGTACATCTTTGCTGATTTTAAACCCTATAGTGTTCCCTCCCTTGTTCTATTTTGACAACTGCTCCATGGCCTATGTATAGGAGAGTTCAACATCAGCACAATTAAGTGTTCTGGGCTTCCCATCCTTTTCAATGTGAGCCATAATTTGTTATGATCCACACAGTTAAATGTGCCTTTGCATAGTCAAGAAACACAAGCAAGTATCTTCCCAGTATTCTCTGCTTTTAGCAAAGGCACATCTGACATCACTAATGATATCTTTTGTTCCAAGGCCCTTCTGAATCTCGTCTGAATTTCTGGCAGTGCTCTGTTCTATTCTAGCTGGTGTGGAATAATTTTCAGGAAGATTTTATTTGCTGAAGGTATTGCTGTTATGTGCTGTTAAGTACAACTTACAGTGACCTTATGAACAATAGATCTAAACCTTGTCCTATCCTCATTATCTCTGACACATTTGTGCCAATTGCTGCAATCCTTAGTCATTATGTCAATCCATCTCATTGAGGGTCTTCCTCTCTCTCACCAACTTTCCACTTTGATGTCCCTCTCCAAGGAATAGCCCCTCTTCTCAATATGCCCAAAGCTTTACCATTTTTGCCTCTAAGGAGCACTCTTCCTGCACCTTCTCCAAGACATATCTGTTTGTTCTTTTGTTAGTCCATGGGATATTCAGTACTCTTCTCCAACATCACAACTTACAGGCAAAGATTTTTCTTCTGTCATCCTTATTCACTGTCCAGCTCTCAGATGACTCAAGGACTGAAAGGACCATGACCTGAATCGCACACCTTAGTCTTCAAACTGTTATCATTGCTCCTCAGTACTTTGGAGAGGTCCCTGAGAGCAGACTTTCTCAGCGCAATTCATCTTTTGATTTCTTGATGCTGGTGCCACTGATGTTGACTGGTGATCCAATTAAGATGAAATTATTGACAACTTCAATCTCTCCTCTATCTATCATGATGTTGCCCATTGGCCCAGTGGTGAGAAATTTTGTTTCACTGACATTGAGATGTAATCTATATGGAAGGCTGTAGTCTTTGATCTTCTGCAGCAAACATTTCAAGTCTTCTTCACTTTCAGCAAGCAAGTTGTCATCTGCATAACACAGATTGTTGATGAGTCTTCCGCCAATCCTGATGAGACATTTTTCTTCATAGAGACTAGCTTCTGCAATGATTTCTTTCAGTGCACATTCAACAGGTATGGAGAACGGATTCAGTGCTGGTACATACCTGTCTTGATTTTAAACCAGAATCAGCCAATCATATGACTCACTACCTGGGAATGGGAAAACCGAAGAATTGTGTTGATTCATAGTTTAAAAAAGACCATTTCAAGATCTATCTAGAAGTGCAATTCTATGAGGGACATACTATCCATACACTTAGAAAGAAGCCCTGTTAATGCCACTATTATTCAAATATAAGCTCCAAAAGCTAAAACCAAAGAGGAGAAAACTGACGATTTCTACCAACAATTACAATCCAAAATTGACCAATCATACAATCAAGATGCTGAAGGTTGTTGTTGTTGTTACAAGGTGTTGAGTAGCCTGTGACTCATAGTGACCCTATGTACAATATCTCTGAAACCTGCCCGGTCCTGAGCTAGTCTCACTGACTCTGACACATCTACCCCAATGACCTAGTTATTTTATCAATCCATCTCATCTGGGGTCTTCCTCTACTCTTCCAAGCATTAGGTCTCTTTCTAAGGACTAGCCCCTCCTGGCCACATGCCCAAAGTATGTGAGACACAGAGCTTCAAAATCCTAGCCTCCAAGGAGAAACTTGGTTTCATCCTCTCCAAGACAGATTTATTTGTT